GCCAATATAGTGCGACCTTCTCGTAGTTATCGGGCGTCACTCCTTGTCCTTGTAGCAAAGAAAGACTGGACAACGCGCATGTGCGTTGATTATCGACGCCTCAACGCCGTCACTGAAGACATTGTGTACCCTTTCCAAATAATTGAAGAGGCACTGCAGGCACTTACCGGTAGCAAGTACTTTTCTGTTATGGACGTGGTGTCTAGACTTTATCACATCGCCATGCATCCAGATGACATACAGAAGACGGCCTTCGTCACGCCATGGGGTCTTTATGAATTCCTCCGGATGCCATTTGGTTCTGAGGTGCCCCATTCACATCTAAGGGAGCCGTGCATACGATCATTGACGGTATTAAATGCGACAATGCCCTTGTGCATATGAATGATTGCGTAGACTTCAGCCGGACATTTGAAAAAACACGTTTCGCACCATCAGAACGTATTTAAAAGGTTCGAAATGGCAGCTTGGAAGTTTAAGCCACAGAAGTGTTTCTTTTTTGGTACTGCAATTAATTACCTTGGGACACGTTGTCACGAAAGACGGTGTACCTCCTGATTCATCGAAACTGGCAGCAGTTCCGGCTTTCCGGCCTCCTCAAAATGTACAGGAACTACAATCATTCATCGGGCTCACATCGTGCTTCAGAAAGTTTATCCCGAATTACAGCGTTATCACAGCAGCTCTTCGATCACTCCTAAAGAAAAACGCTACTTTTTTTTGGGAAGAAAATCAGCAAATGGCATTTGACACGTCAAAGCGCGCGTTGTGCCTGCCGCCTGTCCTTAAGCTACTCTTCGAAAAACCTGAATTTGGTGTCCAAGTGCGCACAGATGCATCTCGGCTCAGATTGGGTGGTCTATTGCTGCAAGAAGATGAAGAGCAGCGGTATTGTTCAGTGCTATACTTGAGTCAATCTCTCAAAGGCGCAGAGTTTACTTATTGTAACAGAATAGAAAGTTGGGCGAGTTGGTGTATATTCATATTAAAAGAAAAGCGGCGCACAAAAAGACGGAGACAAAGAAGAGAACCACACACAGCGCTTTTGTGTGCCGCTTTTCTTTTAATATGAAGAGTTTACTTATTCTTCGAGGGAAATGGAAGCTCTTGGAATAAAATAAACATTAGAAGAGCTACGACCATACCTGATTGGTCGAAAATTTCAAGTTGTCCGCGACCACCACGCACTGTGCTAGGCCTTGCGCTACAAGGTAGGAAACCAACGCATTTCTCGTTGGTCACTGATTCTGCAGGAATTCGACTTTGTCATCTATAAATCAGGAATTCTGCACAGCACACCAGATTATCTTTCCAGGAATCCCCCCATTGTTGATGATGCTGAATCAATTCTTGCAGTATCATATTCATCACTGTGATTTTGTGACAACTTGGGTGGGGAGCAGCGTCAGGATGCATTTTGCTCTAAAGTCCTGATATTCTTTAGGGTGCACTGGGCACAAAAAAAAACAAGACAGGCGTGGAAAAGAAGTTTATCACGCATAACTATGTGTTGTACAGTAGAGACCAAGGCTTAGTCAGCAATCAATTTCTCCTCTGCTTTCCTGCACAACGACAAGCTAAGCACTCCGTGAAATGCATGAAGTGTGATACGGGGGCTACATGTGCATCAGGTGAACATTCGATGCCCTTAGGTCTAAGTATTACTGGCCGAAGGTCTATGAAGGTGTCAGAGGGTACGTGAGTCACTGTGACCTTTGTCACAGGCTGAAGATGATGACATCGGTGTCTTACAATCTATTACGAAAAATAGAAGTCCACAGCTCATTTCACACAATTGGGATGGACATAAAGGGCCATTCAAAACTTCAAGAGGTTACAAGTACCTGACTATAGCCATTGATTATCTCACAAAGTTTGTGGAGCCAAAACCACCCCAGAACATAAAGGCCACAATCATCCAAAAGTTTGTCGAACGACGGATCATCTTGAAGCACGGATGCCAAGCCGCAATCATCACAAACCGCGGTACTCAATTGATGGCTTGCTCTACTAAAGCATACCTCAAACATCAGGGCATCAGACATGGTGCCACTACCGCATATCACCCCGCAGCAAAAGGCTTGTGCGAAAGAGCCAATAAAACAATCAAACAGATGATTGCCATTACTACCGCCGGGGGAGAAAGATGGGCCTATGTCCTCCCTTCTATTGTACTCTGTTACAACACCGGGTACCAAGACACGGTTCGCCAAACTACCTTCTTCCTGGTCTACGGTAGGGATCCGATGTTATCTTTAGATGTTGTATACAGCCGCTGAGAGCTTGAAGAGCTCAAAGAAGAATCCAACTATTTCACGGTAGTGCGCGAACGACTACAAAAAGCCAGGGAGCTCGCAGCCACACACATCCGGCTGGCTCAAGAAAAACGGAAGCGGCACTTTGACAAGCACCACAAGGACGCTGTGTTTGAAAGGGGACAACTGCTCCTCTTCAAGGCTCCTACGTCCAGTTTGAAAGCAACTACATCGTACACCACACCTCACAAGACAGTTAACAAACTGTCTCCCGTAACTACGAGATCGAAGTCGCGGACAACATGGGAAGTGACATTGTGCATGTAGAAAAATTGAGACCATATATGAGCCCCATTGCTCACATGGAGCAACCCAATGCTTCGAACTGAGGTGTACATGGGTGCCATGCAGTGTAAATAGTTGTTGGTGCTTGTATATAGTTTTGTGTGCCTGAAAGTGGATAGACAACGTTTTGTTGACCTTTGTCAATAGTTACAGAAAGGGCTGTTCAACTTAGTTTAGGTAAGTCTGTCTTAGTGTTTTGTGTATGAAGTCGGGACGACTATAGTTTCCGAACCCGGCCATGTGACGACCGATATCAGACGACACTCGGTGCGTGCCTCACGCCTTTGCGCGAGGAAAACGAAGTATCACCGCCGAGCTCGCGGGTGCTCGAGGAACGTGAAATAAAAAAGGGAGTCTGGCAATCCCTTCCTGATCTTGAAACAGTGTGGACGTTCTTCTTAGGCCACCTCGGAACCCAGTATATCAGACGGCCACAATGGCACGTCACAAGAATAAAGAATTTTTAGGGGTGAAGCTTATTATAGCGGCACCCGTTCGTCCCTCGTAGTCGTAGTAGTAGTGTGTAACAAGTCTTACATTTTGTTCTCCAAGGTGGTGCCGGTGGGAGATTTCTTCTGTGCGTTGTTGACAATAAAAAACTCGCAGCGTGCGCGTTAACTAAAAGGCGAATTCTCCTGTCTCTTTTCTCACTTAGCAGCCATTGGCATGTACATTGAGCACTATCTGACAAGGAAGGGTTGCTACGTTATACTCGCTGGGCGTAACCTCTTTGGTTTTAGCAAGATTTAGCGAGCGTTTGGTCGCAGTGTCATAAATACAGTGAACTAGTATATACCAAGAACTTCAGGTGGTTAAAGGTGAGAAGTAGACACGATGCGCAAGCCGTAAGAAAGTGTGCGTGTGCCTCCTCTCGTTCAGTCCTTGGAATGTCCGCTGGATGGCAGTTCTTCTATATGAGCAATATATGATGAAAAGATGCGAGATTGTGGTACTTGAAGTGTTGAATAGGTGGACGAACGGACACACAGACAGTTGCATGGACGGACTCACAGATGGCTGCACAGACGGATGGACGCATGGACGAACGCAGGAGCGAATGCACGGACCAACGCAAGGATGGACACACAGATATACGTGCGGACGCACGAACAGGCACACGCACGGGCGGCCACACAAACGCACGCATGGACGGACAGAAGCAAGAACGAATGGACGGACGGATGCTTCGCCCCACTCTCCATCATTCACTCCGTGGGTATGCTGCTATTTTTCAGGTAGTCCTGACGAGGATGAGTGGTGGAGCACGATAATTTACCAGTTCAGTCTCACCAACACGTTGAGGCTTGGTGTATGAACAAACCAGAACGCGGTGGCCCAGCCATTGGGACGCTGGCTGGTTATGAGGAAACGCTAGCTTCTGACGACGCGTCGATGAACGAGGGTGAGCCTGCCAGGCAGTTGGACGCACATTTCGAGCCGGTAGCCCGACTTGTGTTACTTGCATGTCATCATCGAAGTCCATAGGCCCTCGACAGAAGTTCAGGACCGGATGGCCATGGACTCCTCTATCGAAAACGTGACGGCACGATGACCCGGGCGGTTGAAGTCTTTAGCGCCCAGTCTTTAAAATATTTAGCGCCCGGTCAGATGACAACCTTCCACTCACCTTGTCCTCTTCGAAGTCTCTTGCTCTTTTCTGTCTCGGGATCTTCCTCGATTTCTGCGTCACTTTTCCCGTTCTAATTGGCTATGCTGAAGTTTCGTGGTGCCCAGCCATTGGCCCGTAGAATATATGCGGTAGCTTTACATTGGTTCTTTTTCATTTTGTCCTTGTTACGCCACGCATCTTCGTGCTCTGACAAGGGGACGTCTCCATCATTGTTGTCTTCTGCCTCGGTCACCGATCACCCATGTTCTTCATTTTTTTTCTTGTTGCGCAATTCAAACGCGCACTGTACTCGTCATGCCCCCCTTCTCATTAACTCTGCTAAAAATGGCGTTCTGCCGGACAACTATTTCGATTGTCTGATAAACACCCTACACCTTTTATTTATTCATAAATGTTGATCTTGGTCTGCTATCCCGATTGGCGCTATATATATGCAGACATCTGACACTACCTTTTCTACTGCCCTTGTGCTTTGCGATCCACCGCTCATGCATCCGCTTTTCTGTCAGCGAATAGCTGGCTGGACAAAGTCTACGTCGAAGGGGAAGAACAGCATTGACTGGCGACGCAGGTTGTCGAAATGCGTGGCCTATGACTTTCGCCGCAATAAGTCTCTATTACTACTAGTACTACTACTACTACTACAACTACTTGCGAGAGCCGAGCACTTACAAAGGTGTATATAAATATATGACTGTAATCGCGAGCTTGTAAAGACGGCAACGCTGAAGTCAATCGAGCATAACGCTTGGTGCTATTGGACTACATACCTTCCATCTGGCTTGCGTTACGAGAAATGTTACGCCAACAGCACTTGGCCCCTTTTGTTTTTTATAGGCGAAGCGCGCTAAAGCGCGGAGCTGGAACGCGTTCGGATTACTGATTTCTCTCCATCCTCCGCCTCCGACGCCGACTTTGCAAAAGGTCATCACCAATGAGGTGACGAACATTGTAGCACAAACTGTAGCCATGCCTTCCTTTGGGAAACCTGCATTCAATAAAATATTCAGCTTTTACATATCCAATTCGAAGTTCAGAAATTAGACATGTCACTGGTATGATATAGACATTTTCAGTACTGTTCTTTTATTAGTATATATTTAGTGCCCGCTTTTATTGTGTAATCGCTACACTAATAGCACGCGAAGAATTTCTTTCAGTGATGCGAAAAAGTGCAGTACTTACCACGGATAATTGGTTTTGGCAAATATACGTAACTAATACATCATCATCGCACATCTCGTCGTATGATTGACATTGACGTATTGAGTGGCGGGCTGCTTCCTTGTCGAATGCTGTATGAGCATGAATGGTCCAGTTGTAAAAACCTGCGAAATATCAAGCAGTTTTTTTACATTGGGTCATTACCTAAGGTTATCTTCTATATATATATAAAACGTTCTAGCTCAAGTGGCGCAAGCGAAATATTCCAATTAAATATCACCTCTCAAGCGCTCCGTACAAATGGTTAACAAGATAAAGTTTAAACGTGCGGTACCAGTGTTTAGCACTGGGTTCAACGCGTCCTGGCACTGATACCTGTCACAATTATTGGTTTCATGTTCGTGCTTCTTCATGAGGTGACATCGTGAGATAACCGGTTACGTGGTTTGCAGGATCCACACACCACCGGTGCATGCATTACCGCTCGCACTTAAGCGCGGCTTCGAAGTCTGCTGGATCGTCGGCACGCAGCTGCTGCCGGCAGTCGGTCTCTCAAGCCTGTTTTAAATGCGAAGCATTTCTTAGCGAACTTCGGCGACTTTGAGCAGATCTATCTATCTATCTATCTATCTATCTATCTATCTATCTATCTATCTATCTATCTATCTATCTATCTATCTATCTATCTATCTATCTATCTATCTATCTATCTATCTATCTATCTATTTATCTATCTATCTATCTATCTATGTGAATGGATGACGAAGGTATGTGACTGGTGCAAATTTGATAATCATGAGATGCGTGTCATGTAGCAACATGAATACATGCCGCACTGATCACGCTAGCTTCACATATGCCAAATGGTATTACGTGACGTTAATGGAGAACGAAGGTATGTGACTGGTGCAAACTTGATAATCATGAGGTGCATGTCAAGTGAGAACATGGCAACATGCCACAGTCAAGGCGCCAATAGATTTCGACGTGACGCGGTGCGCCTGCTCACCGGCGTTCATTTCGTCGTGTCAGGTGGGCGTTGCTACGCCAGGTGCCGGTCCTGCTATATACTCGTTGGCACGCCCCGCGCTGCGTTGCTTTGACGCATGCACGTTTCCGGGCGTACAGCCCTCCGTCACGAAAAGAGGGAAACGTAGTGTTGTCTGGGTAACGCATTGGCGCGAAATACAGCATGTCGCATTTCACGCCGGTTGCTATTGGGCCGATCTAGTGAACACTAGTCGCTCAGGTCACGCCTAGCGTGAGACTGTAGAGTGCTCACATTTTGCTAACGTAGCGTCGCTTTGCTCAGCGTGCACGCGTTCAATGCTACCTTGGAGCACATTGATCCCTTCATGATGTGCTCGATGCCGTTTTACTAGCTCCACGTATACCAAATTTGGTGTCACGTGACATCTATTGATGACAAAATATATGACTGGTGCAAACATGATAATCCTGACACGCGTGTCATGTAAGAACATGACAACATACCACACTCATAGCGTGCTCGCGGCCGTTTGACTAGCTCCACATATACTAAACTTGGTATCACGTGACGTGAATAGATGACTAAAGTAAACGACAAATCCAAGCATGATAATCATGACACGGAAGTCATGTACGGCATCACTTACCTTCCCCTTGTAATGTTGTGCTAATTTTAAAGTGACGTATCAACATTTCTCATTCGTGCTTTGCATAGCACGGTAACTGTGCCAAGCGTAAGACTGTTGACTTTGTGTTTAAATTCTGACCATTTAGGATTATAGCGTCAGTTTTTAAAAGAGCGGCCGATTATAGCCGAGTTTGAGAATTGCTAGTAAATTGATGGCCATGTTTTGCGCTGTAATGTCTGTGTCGGTTGTTCCAGGAGCCTTGACTATTGATCGGCGGCGTTTTGTGACCTTGCTGAAAAGTGTTTCAGGTAACTCTAAATCAGCAGACCATGTGGTGACGCTGATTGCATAAGTAAGACCTGACAACAGTGCGGTAGTACGTTCAAAAACAAGTACAAAGTTGAAAGCGCACCGTGGTCTAGGATCTTGCTTCTAAAAATATTCGGGAAAATTTTGATATCCCGCTACCTTTCCCAGGTACAGTAGTTTTGTTGATACTGGTCTGCCCCTATTCACTTTCATAATAGTGCATGAGAACAACATATCTCGCTAGTCTTTTTGTAATCTGCAACACATGATGCTTTAGCGAGCACGAGAATGATGAACCGTATCTGAATGTGCCTAAGCTTTGACCTTACGTCTTCGTGTATGCCGCACTCGCTTTGTGTTAAGATAAAGTCCTGAAATCCAACTGAAGAGGTCCAGAACTAGTTATTTGAGTGCTGTTTATTGTTTCTCCGCCTCTTGTTGTAAGGCATAGAGCAATCCAACGAAGTAGATATTCACCATTAAGAGCCCTGTTGTCGGGGATCAGGTGCGGCGATGGCGTAGTGGTGAGAGCATCCGCCTCGCATGCAAGAAGTTCGTGGTTCAAATCTCGGTGCCGCGCAGTTCCCAACCGGAAAAAAAAATCCGCGTGTTGATGGAACTACATTAAGAGGCCTGGGGTGCGGCCTCACCGGTAACCGCCGCCGGGAACGCACTCCCTCACCACAGAAGGATTGGCCACCCTGGTGCAGTATCTGGCCACTACCTCCTACATGCATACGTCAAATAACTCACGGCCCTCAGTCCCCAGCAGCTGCGAAGCAACTGACCACGGCGGCGGTCAGATCTGCAAAGCAGCAGAGGGTTCTAAGAATCTCTGGATCCGGACAGGCCGCCATTATAACCTGAACTTGGCAACGTTTAACGCTAGAACCTTATCTAGTGAGGGAAGGCTAGCTGTACTATTCGAGGAGCTAGAGGGTGTTAAATGGGATATAATAGGGCTCAGTGAGGTTGGAAGGACAGATGAGGCCTATACGGTGCTACAGAATGGGCACGTCCTTTGCTATCGGTGCTTGGCAGACAGAAGAGAACTGGGAGTGGGGTTCCTAATTCACAGAAACATAGCTGGCAACATAGAGGAATACTATAGCATTAATGAAAGGGTGGTAGGTATCGTGATTAAACTGAATAAAAGATACAAAATGAAGGTAGTACAGGCCTACGCACCTACATCAAGCCTTGATGACGCTTCAGTTGAAAGCTTCTATGAAGACGTGGAATCGGCAATGAGTAAGGTAAAAACACAGTATACTATAGTGATGGGCGACTTCAATGCAAAGATAGGAAAGAAGCAGGCTGGAGACCAGGCAGTAGGAGATTACGGCATCGGTACTAGAAACGCCAGAGGAGAGCTACTAGTAGAATTCGCCGAACGCAATAATTTACGCATTTTGAATACCTTCTACCTAAAACGAGGAAACTGCAAGTGGACATTGAGGAGCCCTAATGGCGAAAATAAGAATGAAGTAGACTTTAAAATGAGTCCACACCCAGGCATCGTGCAGGATGTTGAAGTGGTGGGCAAGGTACGATGCAGTGACTATAGAATGGTACGGTCTCGAATTCGCCTAGACTTGAAGAAGGAACGGCAGAAACTGATACGCAAGAAGCCAATCAATGAGCTACCACTGAGACAGAAAGTACAGGAATTCAGAGTGTCGCTGCAGAACAGGTACTCGGCTCTTAGTGAGGAAACCAACCTTAGCGCAGATACAATGAATGATAATCTGATGAGTATCATTAAGAAGTGTGCAGTGGAAGTTGGAGGCAGGGTAGTTAGGACACTGGCAAGCTTTCCCAGGAAACGAAGAACCTAATTAAGAAGCGTCAAATCATGAAAGTGTCAAGTACAACAGACAAAATAGAACTGGCAGAGCTTTCGAAGTTGATTATTAGACGTAAGGTATGCGATGTAAGAAGGTATAACATGGAGAGATTAGAACATGCTCTCAAAAACGGAGGAAGCGTCAAAGCAGTGAAGAGGAAACTTGGGATAGGCAAAAGTCAGATGTATGCACTAAGGAACAAAGAGGGCAAAATAACTACCAATATGGATAGGATAGTTAAAATAGCGGAAGCGTTTTACAGAGATCTGTACAGTAGCCGAGACAACCACGACCTTAATACTATGAAAACTAGCAGTAACCCAGATGACACCCCACCAGTAATGAAAGAAGAAGTCAGAAAAGCTTTGGAGAGCATGCAAAAGGGCGAAGCTGCTGGTGAGGATCAGGTAACATCAGATCTGCTGAAAGATGGACGACAGATTGTTTTAGAAAAACTAGCCACCCTGTTTACGAGGTGTCTCCTGACGGGAAGAGTACCAGAGTCTTGGAAGAACGCTATCATCATCTTAATACATAAGAAAGAAGATGACAAGGACTTGAAGAATTACAGGCCAATCAGCTTGCTCTCTGTAGTATACAAGCTATTTACAAAGGTAATTGCTAACAGAATAAAGAAAACATTATAATTCAATCAACCAAAGGAACAAGCAGGATTTCGAACAGGCTACTCAAAAATTGACCACATTCATACTATCAATCAGGTAATAGAAAAATGCTTAGAGTATAACCGACCACTATACATAGCCTTCATAGATTACGAGAAGGCGTTTGATTCAGTAAAAATATCAGCCGTCATGCGGACACTGCGAAATCAGGGCGTATATGAAGTATATATAAACATTCTGGAAGAAATCTACAGGGGATCAACTGCTACCATAGTGCTTCATAAGGAAAGCAACAGAATACCAATCAAGAAGGGTGTTAAGGTAGGGGGACACAATCTCCCCAATGCTATTCACTGCGTGCTTACAGGAGGTTTTCAGAAGCCTAGAATGGGAACAGTTAGGGATAAGAGTTAATGGAGAATACCTTAGTAGACTACGCTTCGCCGATGACATTGCTTTGCTGAGTAACTCAGGAGACGAATTGCAACTCATGTTTACGGAGTTAGACAAGGAGAGCAGAAAGGTGGGTCTTAAAATTTGTCTACAGAAAACGAAAGTAATGTACAACTACCTCGGAAAAGAGCAGTGCTTCCAGATGGGTAATAGTGCGCTTGAAGATGTAAAAGACTATGTTTACTTAGGGCAGGTAATAACCGCAGAGCCGAACCACGAGATTGAAGTAACTAGAAAAATAAGAATGGGGTGGAGCACATTCGGCAAGCACTCTCATATTATGACAGGTAGATTGCCACTATCCCTCAAGAGGAAGGTATATGACAGCTGTATCTTGCTAATACTTAGCTACGGAGCAGAAACCTGGAGACTTACAAAGAGGGTTCAGCTTAAATTGAGGACGACGCAGCGAGCAATGGAAAGAAAAGTGGTAGGTGTAACCTTGAGAGACAAGAAGAGAGCAGAGTGCATTAGTGAACAAACTGGGGTTAAGGATATCATAGCTGAAATAAATAAGAGCAAATGGACATGGGCCGGGCATGTAGCGCGTAGACAGGAAAACCGCTGGTCATTAAGGATAACTAACTGGATTCCCAGAGAAGGGAAGCGGGTTAGGGGGAGACAGAAGGTTAGGTGGGCAGATGAGACTAAGAAGTTTGCGGGTATAAATTGGCAGCAGCAAGCACAGGACCGGGCTAACTGGCGGAACATGGGAGAGGCCTTTGTCCTGCAGTGGACGTAGTCAGGCTGATGATGATGATGGTGATGATGATAATGATGATGTCGGGGATCAACTGTGTGCTGTCTAGATGGCCGACGTCGTGGCGGTTGGCCTTAATCTGACTGTCTCAATCTGCAAGTGGCCCGCGGCACGTTGGTTCATGCACGTCAGCCCGAACATCATAGTTAAACATCTGTCTTCTTGGTTAATTTTGTGCCAAAAGGCAACAATAAACAAGAGAAGAATTTCCGGAGCTCGTTTTGTTTTTGCCACTATTCTAAATAAGGCCAGCAGATAATCAAGTTAATTGTAATGATTACGGGAACTGTACTATTTGGGACATAAGTATGAAAAACGTATAGGGGACGCAAAGGCAGCTTGACGCCCAAAGGAACCTAACGAGAAACCTTCGGATTGCGTGCTTGATGCCCTTACCGATTGAGCTACGGCAGTGGTTGTCTACTTATCCACATAAGGGGGTACTTATGTACATGAAAACTTGTAGGTGTAACTCAGTGCTGCTTGAAGCCGTCAGATTGAGTGTCGCACAACGTTTTCTTTTTTACAAGTTGGTGCTACGTAGCATGGTTCTTGTTACGGCAGACTCGATGCCTAGCGCAGCATCCGAAAGATCAGTAGTGAGCGGTTTGCACGTAAAAATTGACGTGCTACGTGACACTGGTTGAAAAAAAAAGAGGTTTGAACTGATATTGCTAGAGCTGTGTAGAAACTGCTCTCACTAACATTAACATTCTTCGTCACACTTATTAGCACTGCCAGCCTTTTTTGAAGAGCTACCAGAACAGTGACATGAAGTCGGGCTTAAAAAGCAATGTACATAACAAAAACACAAGAAAATAAATGTTCGCAAATGAAACACACAGTTTAACAACACATGTCAAGATAATATGACAAATATTTTATAACTGTGAGTCCGTCAACTAGACATTGCGAAGGAAACCAGAAATACTAAAACACATATAAAAGGAAATGATCAGTATCATTGTCAAATTACAGTGCTCGTAATTTGCACACGGCATCTAAATCTCAGAACGTGAGATCAAAGTACACTATCGAATTTATAGCTTTTGAAAACTCGGTGATTTAATTTTCTCAAGCACCCGAAGCTTGCAGTTTATGTAGGCATAAATTTGTCTTTTTGAAACTCACGTATTCAAACACAATATATTTTTTACAACAAGTGGTACGCGTAATTGCTTGAGATGGCCATGCCAAGCCGTGTCCAACCTGTTTCCTCAAGACGTTGTCTCTGACCTAGCGTTCGAATCAAAATTGCGCCGACGTGACTTTAAAGGAAGGAGGTTGAATCGAAAGCGTGTGCTTTACTTAGGGAAGAGTGACATTCTTGAACCGGTGGGTACTACAGAAACAATGTGGCTGGTGACGAGGCATTCGGGTTGAGTAACCAGGTGTAATCTGTGAAGGCACTTCGGTTTTTTCAATAATTTGAGCTAAAAGACCCAATTTATGGCAAACGTTATTTCCGATGTACCGCAAAGATTGCCTAAAGGAATATCGACGCCTTGAGATTCTTTGAGTTCCACCTATTTCTAAGCCCATGAAGCTCAAGCACTTTTGCCTACATTGAAAATGAGGCTGCCACAACCGGGATTCAAAGCCGCCACTTTACCTCATCAGTTCGGTAGGTCCAGCTTAGCACTGTGGAAATATGGGGGCTACATACGTTTCAATCGCACTGGGCTCTCTGGACCAGCTGAATGCTGTTGAAAAGAATTGGTATGCTTGTGAGTCAGCTGTTACACAGGGGACAAATATATGACATCTGTTGAGTCAATTTGTCTTTCCAGATACACTTTAAAACAGCTGGGGCTAACATTTTGCGCAAGCGGCATGCTGCTTATAGTCGGCGCATAAAACATTCCCAGCACACGAATGATTGCCTTTGTTGTATTGACAATGCTTGGATGTGTTTCTTCCGTTCCACAATAGAAAAAAAACGCAAAGGGAACGCTCGTAGCATTGGTTCATTTCTCCGTCCATCCGGCAGAAATCCTGTTCATGCAGGTTCACTGTGGTAAAACTCTCCTTTAGAAGAACTGTTATAGGCCTGTTTTTGCAGCTCATTGTGGTATATTACCAGCATTTACCCCAACTAACGAAATGATTTGATTACCTGGATGTACGGGTGCACATTAGTTGGAAGGAGTCACTTTCAGGGTTCAATTATTTATATCAAATTAACTACCAGATAATAGAGTAACAGTTTGCTTAAAAGCAAGTTGGACTGGGTGAAGCGTACGAAGAAATCAAAAGGTAGGTGGTAGGGAGGTTAACATGGCATATTTACTGCGGACTCACCTACACTGTGTGAATGGGGAGGGGAAGGTAGACAGATGGGAGAAACTTGAAGAAGAACAAAGAAAGAATGACATGAAGGAGAGCTTAACTTCATAACACACTTGAAGAGTGAAATGCTGTGTCTTAATCATGCTTGCCCACGTGTTTAATGCCACCGTTCCACGCTGGCTTAAAAACTTACACAACTGGCAGAAAATGCCCCAGCTAACACTTGAGATAACCTGACAGTCTAATCGAATACGTAGTTAGGATCTGTTTGTAACTGCTCTGCATGTAAATTGTCTGCGTGCTATTCGTCCGCATCTTTTTGATCTGCACCCAAGAGGCTCGACCACACCTGCTAAATGAGTGAAAGCACCAATTTTAAGGTTCGAGTATTTATTAAATTCTTTTTCATGCCAACCTAGTTGCCGTCTAGGAATCAGTAGACAGGAATATCGGCTGACTACAAACATCTTGCGTACATATGTTTTAAATTGATGCAAGCGCTAATGTTAAGCAAATTATATGCTATGAAAATTCTCGACAATGTTCCTTGAAATAGAGGGGATAGTAGCAATTTGCGTAACTAGCTTCACTCATTTTCTTTTCTTTTGCAGAGAAAAGCCCACGGTGCACTTCATTTATTGCTTACGAGTTCATGAAATCAATAACGGTGGACTAAATCAAAACTACTTTAAGTTGAAGGAACAACTACAGCTGTGCACGCGCTCAAGTCATTCACTAGTAAGCAGCCCCAAGAAATACAATAGCTTATATACGGCTACACAATGCGAGACAAGTGGCCCAAGTCATAAGACCTGTTTTGAGCCAAAGACACCTATTTGCTGATGGCGTTGTAGTTTGTCGGCATGCTGCGAAGGGTACAATTTTATTCCAATAAGCCTTCCAACATGTGTTCAACAAATTTAAGGATTCCTGGAGTAATTTTACCATTAAACCGTGAATTCTTTCATCGGTACGAAATAAAGCCTTTGTTGTAACACATCATAATGCATTTCCTAAAATTTTCATATCAGTTGGCTTGTTTACGTTATTTTCCCATTTCTGCAAAGTGGCTGTGATAATTCATGCCACGTATTCATTATTTAACTGCCAAAATAACGGAGTGCGCATCTTGTGTTTTTTCTTGCAATCCTTTTCGATGCAAAAGCACCACGGTCCTTGCAGGCAACACTTAAAGCTTTTTTTCTTGTGCAGCTGTACTATAAAAGCATAAATACAGTTAAGGTGACCCCCAATCATGAGATATGGAAGGAAATTATTCGTCATCAGGTTTAGGTGCAGACGAGTGGTTGTTTAACCGTCGGTGTTTAAAATGCGAATGCATTTTTAGTCGGGCTATGTCCGGCATTCGGCGTTGTCCGCGGCATTGTCCACTCACGAGCAGGTGTTATCTCTCCGCTCTTACTCCCTCTCCCATAGCAACAGCTCCGAATGCGCTCGCTATTCCTTCCCTCCTAGCAATCAGAGCACGTGATGCGAAAGAGCATAGGCGAGTGTAGCTTCAGTGCTTCGCCACTCCTTCTATGCCCGCTTGCTCTCTCTCCTTTCTGCGCCCCGATCTCCCGTCCACTAGCGCCTCACTCTCGACTGTACACTGGCTGGGCGCCTCGCAAGAGCATTCGGAAATTTATTCTTGAGACGCCGCTGCGAATAGCTAGCGCTGAGCCAAGAATGTTGGTGTTCCACTCTCCTGTCCGCTCGCTCCTCCCTCTCGACTGTTCTCTGGCTGGGCGCCTCTCAAGACAATGGCTGAAGTCAGTGAAGGCGAAAGTTTAACGCCAAAGGTACCCTCTCTCGGCGCAAGAAATGCATTCGCATTTCCGCATGATTCTCTTCAGGGATATTTCACGGGAAGAACAGAGCTCTAATGTTGATGCTCTCATCTGGATTCATCGTAAGCTGGCCTTACTTGAATATTGTGACTTGTTCGAGCAGTTCTTGCAGGTTGTTTTAACATACAGAGTGGTCTCAGGATGTAACAAAGCAACGTGTGAATTATGTTAAAAAAACTTATGTATTGTAAGGCAAGTGCCTAAAACTTAGCGCGTGGTTTCGTCGACAGATCCTTGTTTTGTGAGAGTGCTATGATCAACCGAAACAGGGAATACTAGGGTTCAGCAGGGTTGCTAAGTACATTGAATTTGCAACCTGTGAATGTGCATCACTGCCATGTAGTAGCGTATTAAAGGACAGGCTTTATACTAAAATTGGGTAGCCTGATTCCTGCAACTACAGCACCGCTTTGAGGAATTATTGTGCCTTGCGCCTACACTCGGTAGTGATCATGCCCGTCCAATCATTCCCTCAGGGCTGTCACCCTCACAGGCAAGCTATAATTGCCTTGAGACAGCTGGCATGAAAATGCCAGCTACTCAGCCGGCTCTTTTGCTCTCCTATCATCTCTGTTTTATTGTGTAGACTTGTCAGAGAATTGGCACGTTATACGGTTCCTTACAGTATTTTTCGAGAGATACCATGGGATTGTTTCCGTCTCTTAGACAACCCCAATTCCAATGGTACCCAGTGATATTGTTCATTTCAGCAGACCTAAAGTACATCTTCCTTCTAACAGCCACGTTTCAAGTGCACTGAGATTTTGATGCTACCACCCGTAGTAATTATACCAAGTTCATACATTGCCAGAGGGAGGCGTTCTGCCAGGAGGTAACAGTAAAAGAAGCTGAATGTCCCGCGCTTTGGCTTATCCACCACAATTGCCAATGGTGTAATTTAAAGTTTTTCTACGAAGTTTGCGTATTTCCAGAGCGAAACATTTTGCCTAGAGATCGCGACAATGGAAACGGGCCTGTCCTGGTTCACTTTACTCATCAAATTTTGAATGCTGTAACCTGGAGTCATTCTTCGAAACCCTCCCATATACATATACAGAGACAGATTCTGCCTAAAGATGCGACTAAGTGGGTATGGGCCTGCGTAGGGTTCCGGTTATCCAGAAACTTTGTCCATACTCTGCCCCACACTGTGGGTGCACTGGTACTTTGTCGGGACTCATCACATTTTAAGCAAAGACGTGACAGGAAACACACTAGGAGAATAGCAATAACTCCAACTTTGAAGCAGTGGTAAAAAAAGAGTTTTTTTATAATTGACCATTCAGTGTGAGTGGACTTGATAACCATTCTTCAAGAATTTCCTATTTTCTACTTTCCAATTGAGCATGCAAATGCTTAAAGTGTATGGAAAAACAAATTTGTAGGTGTTAGGTTTAGCAACGCCGTTATTTCGCAGGTAATGTGAAAAGCCCACAGACTTATTGAGTCACTAATTAATAATAGTAGCTTCCTAGGAGGCTCCCGAACATAACATGAGGGGTAGACGATAACAGATGAATACCGTCCCCAGTTACCCAATAAGCAATATATTTCTAGTGGTGCACTGGTCTACACCAAGAGATATGGACAGCTTTTCTATTTCTATATCTAAAAAAATTGAGGTACCACAACTATCATCATTATCATCATCGTCAGCCTGACTGGTCTACTGCATGACAAAGGCATCTCTCATGTTGCGCCACTTAACCCGGTCCTGTGCTTGCTGCTGCCAATTAATACCCGCAAACTTCTTAATCTCATCTGCCCGACTGACCTTCTGTCTCCCCCTAACCCGCTTGCCTTCTCTGGGAATACAGTTAGTTACCCTTAATGACCAGTGGTTATCCGGTCTACGCGCTACATGCCCGGCCCATGTCCATTTCTTTTTCTTCTTCATTTCAGCTATGATATCCTTGACCCCCGTTTGTTCCCTAATCCACTCTGCTCTCTTCTTGTCTCTTAAGGTTGCATCTACCAATTTTCTTTCCATTGCTCGCTGCGTCGTCATCAATTTAAGCTGAACCCTGTTTGTAAGTCTCCAGGTTTCTGCTCCGTAGCTAAGTATCGGCAAGATACAGCTGTTCTATACCTTCCTCTTGGGGGATAGTGGCCATCTACCTGTCATAATTTGAGAGTGCTTGCCAAATGTGCTCCACCCCATTATTATTCTTCTACTTACTTCAGTGACGTGGTTTTAACTCTTTTAAATCTTTTAATTTCAGAAGATATCAGTTTCTAATGATTCTTCAAGTTTTGCTCATTTTCGTTCTCACTACTGCAAAATTAGACAGCCACCGTATTGAAGGTTTCTTCAACGTCCATATCTATGATCAGACATAACGATGGTGTTTTTATCACTGTAAACAATCCGCGGTGTACATGACGAAAATACGCTGATTCACAATGCAATCAGCCATTGTACGAGCATGGCCGCACCGTTTTGTTTTCTTCGTGAGCTGTCGGCTTCTGTACCTTAGCTGACATTGCTGGAAACTGTCGACCGCACCAAACACTCTGTGAACCTATGAGATAATTAAATTGTTATGAGACAAATTAGGTTGTTTGAAAAATATTTAGCACATTTTATGGTAG